CTGTCAAATCGCTCTCCGTGGTGCTAACATTAAAAATAACTGCCACTTTTTTCAAATTTTCTTGCTGTGGGTTTCACACCTGATGATGATTGCTTGTGTTGCAGTCGAAACGTCGTGAGAATTTTATTGTTTTATATTTTTATTTATTTTATTGTTTCCCTTCTACGTGACTTTACCGAAAGAACCAAGAATATGAATCCCTGCAGTCACAAAAGCTTTAAATCAAAAGTTATTTTGTTTAACAAGGTAAAGGCCACTCTTTTCCAGAAGCGACCTGGCCACACATAATACATCGACGAACATGGCTTATCGTGTAGAAATGTGTCGCAGGAGGGAAAAACCGGAGGACCTGGAGAAAAATCCACGGGGAAAGAGAGGGAGAGAGAGACACGCAAACTCCAAATATACAGCAGGCGTCAGGGTCGAGATCGAACCCACGAACCTCCTGTATACCAGGCGAGGTAATTAACATCTCGCCACCCGTTGCCCCACCATTTAATGAGACTAACGCTGGGCTTGTTTGGACTGCTTATCAGCACGGCGTGGCCCTTGACACAAATATCGATAGCAGCTTCCCCCTTATTTAATGCCAGGCGAGGCGAGCCGGCAGATTCTGATGAAGCGGCCAATTCTTGCAGATGAGACACAAGACAACTTTTAACAACCGGTCCAAGGATTGATTGCCCGCTCTCGCAACAACTGCAGGGACACGGAGTACCGGGATAAAAAAAAACGGAAATATAAAAAACACGCGCGGCGGATGGACACTCATTTGGTTGATACAAATTGATTCAAGAGAAAGCCCCCATTTGCCGTACGGTGACCTCTTTGTAAACAACTCGCGGCCCAGTGGGTTTTTGCTTTTGTCTTTCTTATGCTTAAAACCAAATTATCCGACCTGCAAACCAGCAAAGCGACTGGTGGAGCTAAGGCGTCGCCTTCTCATTCTCGTTCGCTGTCTGAATCGCAGGCACGATCGACGACGCATCGGCGAAGCGAGTTCCGTTATCCGCCGGATTCTCACTCACGGCGTGTGGAGCGCCTGAGACGTTTGTGGCCAACAGCTTGCCCCGTGCATTATTTATCCGCACGCTTCCCCCCACCTCCCACGACCCCGCATGGGTAAATGCATTTGTACTAATAGCGGTATAAGTTTTTTTTGTGTGGCTTCACGCGGTGGTAGTAGATGCATTCCCAAAAAAATGTGTGGGGGGTCGGACGATGACGACAGTGATGACAGCGATATTGGCGTGAAAGAAATTAACTGGCGATGCTGCTGCTACAACACATTCGTCAATAACAACACTCTAAACTTAATAGAAACAAATAGGTGACGTTACGAGCAATGGCCCCCTCTCAAAGGGCCTTTCTTGAAGAGAAAGTCCCGTGAAGAAGGACCATTGGACGAAACGTCTCCTATTATATATTTATATATTCATTCGAAGGCCACGGCGTTAATTCCGAACGCGTTGAGGTGTTGTTGTTGCTGCTGTTGTTATTGTTGTCATTTATTCCTACCCACAAATCGACACCGTCGCCCCCTGTACACTTTGCGCGATGCAATTCGACCCACGAGGCACTTGAATGCGCACGACCCCAGCGCTGAATTGAATGATTCTGCTGATGTTGTTGTTGCTGTTCTTGTTGGGTTTTTTCTTCAATTATTTTCTAAACACGGAGGGCACTTTCATGGGCTCTTCTCCTGATCCTACTTTCTCTTTTTCATTCTCTCTCTCTCGCCTGACTTGAGGCGCGCTAACATGTTGGACTTATGTACTTATATATTTGTGGCACCAAAACCGATTTCCTTTTTTGGATCTCGTAAAAAAACCCATTCCTGTATCAATCCCTGTGCCTGGTGGCTAAGGCACAGATACGCGCTTGGAACTTCTATGAGCAATGAATCGCAGTGAGAGGATGGTTGACTCCATTAACTGGAGCAGTTATATCATTCCGCTTTTTTTCCTTCTCACTTTATTGCCTGGGAGAAAGAAAAAAACAAATGTTGGCCGTTCTGTATGCCAGGCGATTAAGTGTTGATGCTAGCCACAGGCAAAACTAAGCAGCGGTTGAAGGTGGCCCAAGCATCTAAAGGGGCCTCAGAGTTACATAAAAAAAAGTAAAAAAATATTATTTCGAATTCAAATCCCAATAAACATAAAATGCCGATTAACATTAAAAAGCCAATTAATACCTTGTCCCTTATCTTTTCTTTACGTCTCTTCTCTCGTCTAACTTCATATTTGTATCTTGTGTACATCTCGATTAATTTCACTACATCTGTATCATCCGTATATCTATTCTCTCATCTCACTCACAGCTCGATCTCTTTGCCACATTTCTCACATCTCACTCACCGCATCTCAATCTCGTGTCGATATCTCTTCAGCCATCTCACGAGGAGTTTACACATTGAAGGACCCTCAGTGTGCCATCACCAACACTGATGCCTGAATACGTGAAGTCCATTCCACAGGGGGGAATGTGGCCTGCCCGGGTTTTACACATTTCCTGCTTAGGGCCCTCAATGTGCCAGCACCATAGCTCATGCCGGAATCCGTGAAATCCATTCCGCAGCGAGAACTGTGACCATCCCGGATTTAAAACCAATTCTGCTTAGGACCCTCAATGTGCCAGCATCACTGCTCAATCTTGAATATGTGAAGTCCATTCCGCAGGGGAAATGTGACCGGCCCGGGTTTTACATTATTTGTGATCTTCGTTGTGACAGCACCACCACTCATGCCCGAATCAATCTAACACATTCCGCAGGGGCAAATGTGGCCAGCCCGGGTTTTACCTTATTTGTGATCCTCAATGTGCAAGCACCACCGCTCATGCCCGAATCCGTGAAGTCCATTCCGCAGGGGGGGAAAGAGCCAGCCCGGGGTTTACCCTTGCGCCGAAGCAGCCACCGTGTGTTTAGGTATGTGCTGATTTCACAATACATTGCAATCATTTTCGTAGTTGTTGTTGAAATAGCGCTTTGAGCGCGAACAAAGGAGAGCTGACAGGCCACGCACAGAAGAAATCAGGGACACGCGAGGGAATAATTCGAGAGCAATTCTCCACGCTCGCGTGTTCCTCGCCGTGAAGTGCGAAGCGCCGCACGTGGGTGACCCACGTGGGCACTCACCCGTGGAAGGTGCTGCGCGCGTTGCAGACCCTTTTGTAAATCCACTGCTGGATGAGTGCCCGTCTCCCCTCCCCCCTTCCCCTACCTCCCCTCCCTCAATGTGCAAGCACCATCGCTCCCCTCCCCTCCCCTTTAGGCGGCATCTAAATTACAAGTCCCATTGTGCTCGCTAACCATCACACCACGACAGCTTCCCAATATGAAATATGAGCTGACGAAAGAAAAAAAAAATTCGAAACACAGAAAGAGTCACGCAGCAAATATTGATTCGCAACTGTGATGCTTATCACGGTTGGCTACGTACGGCGGGAAAGAAGTTCAACATACATACGTACATACATGAGAGAACTGTATAAGAATAGGTTTTACCCTTTCTGGCAAAACAAAAAACACAGTTGTGTTAAGATGTTAAAACACCAAACATAAACCTTTTTGCAAGGAATCAGGTCTGCATTAACCACACATGCTCGTGGTGAACATGCAGATAAAGACATGCTCTGGTAGTACACGATGGTGCATTGTCTTTGAAACTGATTGGTCCACACCAGAGACAGCTTTCTTTAGAGCCTCGTCTCAAACAGCGTTAGACCAGAGGACGCCAAAAGGCGAACAGCACAAAGACAATGCCACTATCAGGAGGGGGGAGGTCTCATGATAGAGCTCTGGCACGCGTGATTGTGTTTTGGAGGGAGGGCAACTCACGTAAGTATTCCAGAAAGGGATGAGCACGCTGTTAGGCATTTTCAGAGACACTCACGCTTCGGATGCCACCGTGGTAGCGTCCACACGCACACACACGCGGTGTACCTCCAATTAGCACGGTTGGCTACGTGCGGTGCGAAAGAAGTTCAACATGCAGTACACACATACAACCAGCAATTAGTGCAAGCACGTTTCTTGAATTGCCTCGCCTCTTAACCACCGTAGTTAGCAGAGGGGCAGGTCACGAGTGGTGGGGTAAGATGCGGGTGCTTGCACCTCTCCAAAGACGTTTGACACGCGTGGAAGAGTAGGCAAAATTATACCCTGCAGTCTATAGAGCCTTTCTCCGTCTTCCCCTTGTAGAGGCTCTTCCGACAGCAATTGCCTGGCTACGCCTTTATCAACAAACACAAAACTGTTTCAGAAAGCGTCCCTACTGAACACCAATCCATCCACTGTTGCTTAAAATTACCCCACTCATAGGTCCTTTGGCTAATCTAACAAATCAATGAACTCCGGTCGTGACCTCTGAATCCAGCCTAAGTACCCAACTCAGAGCAATGTCCTGACAATACTTCCGAGGGGGGGGGGCGGGGTTGGGGTAACATTCAAAGTTCTGCACAGGTGGATTCACCGATCCACTTGATATACAGTGCAGTACTGCCACATTTTCTGTCCACGTGGCGTTCCAGCGGAGTTTGAGGAGCTTCACAAATCTCAGCGTGATACACTAACCCCTTCGTCTCCTACGCGCTGGATCACGGGCGCGCGTGCACGGCCACGTTTCGCACCGCGCGCTGGCGGCTTCTGGGGAACGCAATTTCGTAAGAAGCTCCCATGCACGTGGAGCGAAACGTCGGACACGGAAACAGCGCGCGGTACGAACCGGAAAACACGCGACGCCCGAAATTTCATCATCTTTAGCAACCGTTCAATTTCCCGAAGAAGCTCCCGGCACTCGGAGCGAAACGTCGGACATCACGCCGGAAACTGCGCGCGGTTTAACCCAAAAACGCGAATGGGAGACGTTTTTTTCTCTGCGCGCGCGTTTTACGGTGGAGACCTCGGGGGGGCCTCCGCGGAGTTGAGCGCTCGGAGCGAAACGGTCGGACAAGGCACGCGCAATCAGAGTTTCGGGCACTCCGAGAGGCGCCCTTCTCACCTGCGGGAGTGCGAGCACGGCGCTCAGAGCCCACGCCAGGCAGAGCGTGACGCGGCTGCGTCTCTTCGCCTGGCCGAACGCGAGCGGGTTGACCACGGCCGAGTAGCGGTCCAAGCTGATGACGGCTGTCACGAAGGCGCTCGCGTACATCGCGAACAGCTTGAGGAACATGAGGAGGCGACAGGCCGCGTCGCCGGCGCGCCACTGCAGAGTCACGTTCCACGCGGCGTCCAGGGGCATCACGAGGAGGGTGAAGAGGAGGTCGGCCGCGCTCAGGTGGAGCATGAGCAGGCGGACGTGCGACCCGCGCTGACGGCGACTTCGCGTTCGCCTGTCAGCGCACGCCGAGCGCAGCACCATGCCATTGAGGGTCGCCGACGCGAGCAGCAGGATGAGCGTTACGCACACCCGCACCCGGGCAGCAGCGCTGAACGTGGGCAGCAGGGGCGACGGGTGAGGATGAGGGCCCGTGAGGTTCGAGCCCGGGACCGTGGTCATGTTCGGGTCGACGCCGCGCGGATCGGCGTCCGGGTTCGAGGTGACGAGGGAGGTGCCCGGAGCGCACGGGGTTGCGCCGGGAGCGGACGAGAAGAAGGACGGTGGTGACGACGACGTGAAGTTACACGCGTGCGCTAGTAACGCCATCGCGTTCAGAAGAGCGATGAGTTTGAGCAAGTCGCTTTCGGGATGTGAGCCGCTCTGGGAATGCGATAAAGATATTTACGCGCGCGCGTGCGTGTGCGACGAGGTGCTCGCTAGCAGCACTTGCCCCAACAGTCAACGTAGCCTAGAAAGAGGAGGGAAGGAGGTGAGGGGGACAGAGGGTGGGGAGGGCGGGGGGAGGGGATGCTCTTTGTTGTCTGTGACGAACGACTGTGGGGCGTACAATAAAAAGGACGTGTTTGCAAACTCCAGCGTTGTCTTGAGATGCGCTATCAATTTAAGACTGACTCTATGATTCAAAATGACTCTGGATAATTATTAGAATAATAATAATAATCTCATCACAAATATCCCTTGGAAAGCTACACGCGGTTGGGTGCAGTCTTCTGAATGTTAATTAACAGGTTTTGCGAACTCGCTGACTACGCAAATTTTATTTTTATACGGAGCGGATTGGAGCGCAACACCCCAAAAAAAGGAACGGAGATTTCAATTAGCGAAGCATCTCGGACGGGGACTAATCTCGCAATGATTTCTCTCCTAGCGGCGCGTCTCGACTTAAAGTCGACTCGCGACGACGATGATGCTGCTGCTGCTCCTCCTGCTGCTGCTGCTGATGATGATCATGCGAATCAGGGGAATCACATCACGCCACGTGGATGTTGCCAGAAACAGCGCTAATGATATCCCACCCCAGGCGGACGCCTCCCCTCCCACTCCTCTCTCTCTCTCTCTCTGCTTCGCTCCCCCTCTCGCCACATCGAGCCCCCCTTTCGCTCATCCAATCCATGCTATGCTTACATTTGTAAAGGGGGGGAGGGTTACGGGGCGGAGGGGGGGGAAGTGGGGGCTACGGGTAGGTGGGGGGCAGAGTCGCCATACGCTGTCATATACAATCAATTGAATGGATACGTGCTGAAGATAGAGAGATCATGCCTACTACCGCGTGCGGGTTTTCACAGCTGTGCTGCGGTGGGGCGCTCCAATGTGCGCGCGCGCGCGCGTGCGTTTTCGCGTTGTTCCCCGCCGTGTTGGTCGGCGCAGGTGTCCGACGTTTCGCACCACGTAGCTCGAAGCTTCTTCGGGGAGTGAATTGAACGCCGCACGATTATCGCCGTGGCGGGAGAGCGCATCGTCTGCCTCAGTTCAGCGGCTGGCGCAGAAGCTCCGAGCAGCTCGTGGAGCGAAACGTCGGACCTCGTGCTGAACAACAATAACACGTGGCACGAAAACACGAAGCATGGAGGGATTGAGAGAAGCCATGCGTTTGCCGGTGCCGGTGCTGCTGCTGCTGCTGATGATGTTTATGATCCGGGTATTCACGTTACAGGAGGCAACACGTGTCTACTGAACGTGAAGTCATCCATTCATGAAAATGCAATAAATGCTATTGTATTGTTTTTTACTCGTGAATGTAATGCCATTATGACCAAACATTCGATCTAGCCGGGTCTCGAAAGATAAACAGTTCCGAGTCCGGATGGACGACCGCAATACGTAACAGGTGTTACAGGCTCCTGCGAAGCTACATGTGCTGTGGCTGGTCTCCATTGTTGTACTGGATTGCCTATGCTCCCCGCTTTCACCAACCCACAATGACCAGCGTGGTGAGGTATGGTCAAATACGGTAACCCCACCCCACCCCTCCCCCACACGGCGTGGGCGGAGTTCATCATCCAGCAGTGGAGTTAAACAAGGCTTCGCAATCGGCACAAAGTATCGCTCGCGTTGAACCCATGCTGCTGAAATTGCGCACTGCCATGAGGCCGTGTGGCTGATTGAGATGTGTCAAATATAGTTTGTGTTTGACATCTTACACGCAGTAGGCTTTCACGACCAATCCATTAACGAGGTTTTTTGGGTTAGATCGCGTCCACATAAATGTGTCGTGAAACACGCAACCACCCGACACAGCCACTTAGTAAGGCTTGTCACGTGAGCAAGCCTTGGCAAATCGTTTCTAGTTCTGCGTTTTGGAGAGTAAACTCACAACATGTACAATTCGAGTACGACGTTTCGCCAGTATCATCAGAGTGTCGCCTATCGCCTGATGATGATGGTTGCAAATACTGGCGAAACCTCTATTATGGATGATATTGGTCGCGAAAGCCTGCGTGTTAAACTTTCACTACCAATATCGTGATTCATAATTGTTAGGGGGGGAGGGGGGTTAGGGGGGGGGGGGTCAGATCGCGTCAAGTAAAAACGTGTGTCGTAAACCCCCTCTCCACCCGACGCAGTAAATAAATAAAGTTGCCACGCGGTCAAACGTAACGCGGTCAATTTATTTCTGCATCCGTTGGAGTGGCGACTGGGAATCTACAGATGGAAATGCGCCTCGCAAATGTGAAACAACAATAATTGTATCATTGTTGTTGTTATTATTACTTGACATTGCCTGCTGATTGTGTTTTCGACGCAGAGATCACTCGCCTCCCCCACCCCCTGCCCTGACCTCGTCTGATGCATCTGCGGACTCTCAGCCAGCCGCCTCGCCCTGGTGTGTGTGTGTGTGGCGCAGTGCGTCGTGCACGCGTGCAATGTTAATAAGAGGGTTCAAGGGCCGCTCTATATTCTAATTCGCAGAGCGCATAGGAGGAGAGGGGGGGGGGGGGAATCCCTGCCCCCCCCTCTTTTCCAATCAAAGTCCTCGCAATGTCACGCCACGCAGCCTCCCACCCCCCCACGTCCATTCACCGCAGGTAGCCAGGATGTTAACTACCTTGCCTGGTGTGCAGAAAGCCGTGGGTTCGATCTCGACCGTTCGCACCATAGTCGCGTTGGAATTTTTCTCCAGGTCCTCCGGGTTTTCTCTCCAACATCGAGAAACACGCGTTGAGGGTATTTGGCTGCAATACATTTCCACACGAGAAGCCACTTCGTTGAACTATCATTTGTGGTCAGGTCGCTTTAAAAAAAAAGAGCTTTAATAGCTCAGTGGGCCTTACCTGTAAAACAAAGAAACATAGTTGAATAAAAAAAAAAATTGACGAATGTTGAGCACGTTTGGCTAGTATTGTGCGAAAGAAGTTCCACATACACATGCACCGATCTTCAGCGCCGATTCGTTAAGAGTGTCTCTTCTGCTATGAAGAAGGGCCATTTCCCGAAACGTCGTCGCTTATGTACCCCTCCCCCCACGCCCCTCCTGCCTTTTGAGGCCAACAGGTTTTATTGACGCATGTGTTAATTTTGTTGTGTTCTCTGTCTGAGTACACATTACGAGTCGTTGCGCGCTGCAACGCGCATAACAATTGCTGAACTCCCTCCACGTGACTTAAAGCTTTCGTGACTGCAGGAATTCATATTCTTTAGGGCTTTCGGTAAAGTCACGTGGACAGTTTCGAAGAATATAACAAACAAAAAAAGCTACGACGTTTCCATCGCAACGCAAGCTGTCGTCATCCTGATGACGACCGCTTGTGTTTGCGATCGATACGTCGTCGATTTTTTTGTTATTTTCTTCGAACCTATCTACGTGACTTTACCGAAAGACCCAAATAATATCCCTCCACGTGGCTGGTTTGAATGCGAGAGCGCTGATAAAATGTCGAGATTAAGATCGCACGCGATAACATCTCCGACTCAGCCTTAAATGAGTGCCTGGTGCGGTGTGTAAACATCGCCACGTGGGAGACAAAGGCGGACGGGCGTGGTGCCGGCTACCTACTCACCCCCTCGTGTGCCGTACCTGTACAAGTATGTTAAGGCATGGAGTGCCGATGCCTATAAATGTACAGACACAGGGTGGTGCACTGGCAGCTGCAACAATTCAAAATGAAAAACACTTTCGTCTCTCACACGATGTGATGTGACAGGGCCCTACAGAGATACCGAGTTGATCGCATGCCCGGTGCAGAAATATTTTTTTAGGGTTGCCGATTGGCTGGCGTAGGCACGTGACCAAGAGCCACGGTCACAGTGAGGTGTATACTTGACGTGGTGTGCCGGGTGTGGAAGTGTAGTCCGGGTCGTCGACTCAGACAGAACCCGATAAAATTACGCCAAGTCACTGCCCATCACCCTCCCGCCCAAAGTCACACACGTGGGAACAGAGGTGGAGACTTTGTTAACTGCCCGCAACTCTTGTTTGTGTTATTATTCGAGTAATCAATCCGATCATCTATCGAGTAATCGATTGCTTACATGATCGGATTTGCCCAGCTGTAAGTTTGCGATTTGTCCCCCCCCCCCCCATGCGAGAGACGAAATAAATAGGAAGAGAATGGACAATCATTCGGAGGAGAACATTTCACTTTGACATTTTAACTTCATAAGATAGGGGTCGTGCCCCAGGCAATTATACATTGAACGGTAAAGGAAGAGTTGTGTCTGGGCAGCCGCCAGGCCTGTTTCACGGCTGCCCCGTGGTGATTTCTTTGGGGGGGGGGGGGGGGTGAGAAGTCTGACGGGAGGAAAATGTGATTTTCTTTTTCAAGAGAAGCTTTTGCTCAAGCTCAGGAGACAGAAGGGCTGCGTCGGCACAAATTGCCGAATGATCTCTCCGTGTTGCCGCCTCTCGACGTGGAACCAGTTGGTGATCCAGCCATTCAGCCGTGGATAGCAAGTCGATTGGCCACTCAGCCAGATAACCACCCCAGCCAGTCAGCCAGGCAGTTATCTAGACACATGGCCACCTAGCCAATTATCTTGCCACCCATCCAAACAGCCACCTAGCCAGCCATAAATTTCCCAACCCGCCACTGAGTGAGCTATTCAGATGCTTATTCAATGAGCCACCCACCCACTCAGCCATCCAGAGAGCCACTTATTTACCAAGCCAGTTAACCACCCAGCCAGCTAGTCATTCATACATGTAGGCAACCAAACAACCACCCACTCAGACAACCACCCAATCATCCAGCCACTCAGCCACCAACCCCTCCATCCACCCACCCAGTTAACCACTCAGGTAACTCGCCCACCACCCAGCCATCCAGTCAGTCGGTTACGCAGCCACTCAGCCAGTCAATCACTCAGCCACTCATGCACCCACGCACCCATTACACTCCCTAGCAGCCCGTCCAGCACACATGCCACGCAGGCATCCAGTCAGCAGACCATTAGGCCTCCTGTATGTCAAAGCTGCGCTCGTTCAATGCACCGCGGTGGAGTTTTAATTGGCGTGATCAAACATCGCGCATTGATCTTCGTGCAGCGTCCCCACGCCTCGCGCGATGCAATTTAAGCTCCTTTCAGTCCAAATTAGGGCTTTAATTCCGGGCTTAAATGTAGAGGCTAATTTTGCCCCTTCCTCGTGGAAAAGAGGCCAGGAGAGAGATGCAGTCGACATAAAACGCGGTGGACAGACAGCGTGATTATTTATATACTGATGAGTGCATTATTCAAGGGTAATGACAGGAGGTCGTCTGACTTTGCATTGCGCCTCGAAGCCCAAGCGCCGTCCGCTTCGTGAACGTCGACTCCACGTCGGGTGGGCATTCGACAGTCGCCAGATGTTGCCGCGTGCACGCACGCACCACACCGTGAGGCTGATTTAGAATTAACTGCTCCGGCGTATGTGGAGACCAACTTTGGGGGGGGGGGGGGGGGTGGTGGTTAAATGCGCAATAGGAAGAGAACGCAACTGGGTGGCATCGCCAAACGAGTGGAGGTGATGGAAGGCGGCGTCGACGAGTCGCGCGAAAGCTTGGACGGGGCGCTTACTGGGAACTGCACGT